GTGGGTGTGATCTGACCACAAACGCTTGGGAATTTAGCATCGCAATCTTCGTTACACGAGCTGGCGACTTCTGCCTTGCTGTGAGTGATGGCTGCCTCGGATGCCAACATACGGGTTAGAAATGGATTGGAGATCCCATCGTGTATGTCGGAATCGGAGTTCAGCCATTCACATGGGCCGAAGGATAACAAGAAAGGCTTATGTGACAGCCCACTGACTCCTTCACGCGTGCTTTTCCGTCACTACGATCATGTCAGCCAGCGAGAGTCGCGTGCGATTTGCAATTGAGGCAATGGTCAATCTTCATGCCTATCAGCAGCGCCATATTTCTCTCATGTCCAGTTGCGGCTTGCTCGGAGCAGACTGCAAACTCTCTTGTGCGCGCATCACTTACGTTCCGCTTTGAACATTTCAAGACATCAACTTGCCATGGGAGAGAGAGCAAGAATTCACCAGTATACGCCATGCACATTGTGTAATAGCAACGGACTCTCTATTTCTGCTCTCGACTGTTTCAAACAATGGGTCGACTTCAATGTACGACTCCTCTTGATCTGGCATACAAAGTCGCCCACAGCCCTTGATGCCATCCCATCTGCCGTCACGTTGCGTCGCAGCTCACCCCGAGAAAATGCCAGGGATAGCACATTGGATTCGCGACCGCCATCTCAGACTCGGACCAGATTCAACGAATGACCATCTTGAAACGAGTTGGCGTTCCATGGGCATCCCATGGTGTGCTGACGTCAACCGCACCTTCTGCCAATTGTCCCGAATATGGGAAGCAAGCCGCTTTCTGGAGGCCGTTGGCGTTTTGTTTATCGTTGTCCTTGTGGATATCTTCAGTGTCCTTCGTGCCCGCGAGGTGATGTATGCTGGCTTCCTTTCGTGCAGTGGAGTTGAGTGGTGTTGAATCAATAGCACTAGTATTCTGGCCATTGACTTGATTGTGGCTTGCACTGGAGACAGCATTTCTCGAATATGCCGTCGCTGGCGTGACTTTTGCTGTTGTTCCTGATGCGGACGGCGCGCCGGTAGTGTTTGAAGATCGAAGCCCGCTGTGCGGAATGATCAGCATCGGCTGAAAGGGTCACATGGAGCAGGGTAAGACTTACAATTGAGAAGCCTCGATTCCGGCGGTTGCTGTAGCCTCAGGACGAGGGGTCTCGCGGAGATTCTCTGAAGATATTGAGGAGGAAGCAGAGTGCGCCCAGCCCCTGCGGTTGGCCATGTTGTCGTCGGTTGAACAGCTGGAGAAGCGCGATGGATGAGGGTGTTGCGGGATGAAGACTCGGTGGAAGAGGGTTTGTGGGATGAAGGGTTGATTCCAGACGTCGTCAGAATCATCCATTGGGAAGTGGAAATAACGGGACAGAGCACTACGAAGGAAGGGGCCTGCCTCAAGAGATGCAATTCTCACGGTCTCACCCAAGGCAGGTACCAGCGAGTCTGCACCTACCTCGTCAACGTGGGGGTGGGGCAACTTAGAGCCGACAACCTGACTTGCCAAGCTTCCCTTCCATTTCGATCATTCTCAGTTATTGTCGCATCACCGCCGGGAAGAACGATTTCAGGGCCATCGTCCCCGCGAACTGCGTAATCGCCTCGGACGGGTCTTGCCACGGCCCCAGAATCTCCGGGATCTCTAGGTAAGCACCGAATCCGCGGCTGATTTCTCTTGCTCTACGGGCCGACAATGCCGGAGCTTTCAACGATACAAAGTCTCAGAGACGAAGAAAGCAACACCAAGTCAACCTGGGACAGCTAAGTGATCCGGCTGGCACTTTTGCGCCCACTACACAATCATGGATAGAGGTCAGTCACTCGTTGGCTTTCCATCTGCTCAAAGTACGTTCCCAGACCAATCTTTCGTGCTCCTTCTCCCCTTCCGCTTGGTTCATACAATACTGACGTGAGCTCCTCGAAGGCTGACCATTGCCAAATCCCGCTACTCCCTATCCTCTCACAACCCTGACGTATCTTGCGTCTGAGCGACGCTGCGGGGAGACTCGCCCGGATGAAAAATTGGCGCGCTAGATGTCCTCAAGACCTACTAGTATTCTCTGGTGTTCTTCTGAGCGGAAGTCGTGGTCGCGGCGTTCCTCTCGCTTCATCATGCGGCATGCTTTCAACCACGTGTTACAATATCACAGTCGCACAGACGACACCTTTGACCAGCCTCGCGCCTGTTCGCTCATTCATCTCGCTTCAATGTTGACTCCTGAAAGGCTCAATCACAACTCGAGGGCGGATATCTTTCTAGAAGACCAGGGCTCACGCTGTCGGTCTCAATCACGTCGGTCGCTCACATTGCGAGGCCTAGAAACCGTCGCCCATTCGCCATCGCGACAAATTTTTGCTGCTCCAAAGCTCTGTCATTTCCTAGCCACCATACGTCCCGTTCTTTTTTCATGTTCATTTTTAATAAGTCTCCCAACATGGTCTTTCTATGCCCAAGTCGCATTGATTCGCAGTATTTGATCCAAAGATGCTGCCACAGACTTTGCCGCCGTGGTAGCACAGAATGGTGCTAAAAACAGGCCAGATTGCCTTGCCTCTGCTCTCAGCACACAGCAGTGACGGCAGAGTGTGCTTCTAGCGAGGCGCTCAGCCGGGAAAGGACGGTTGACGAAATGGAGCGATAGATATATCGGCTGCGACTTAGGATAGGCAGACGGAATTGCCAGGGGATGTCATCAGTACACCGCTCGAGAAAATAAAGCGAGGGAAAAATATCAATCAACCACTAGGAAATTATTAAAGCGACGAAACTTCATAGGCGACATGGGCAGCATGGGTAGCAGTCGAAAACACATCCGAGGGGAGAGACACACCCGAGAGAAAGGTGAACTGCTCGGCAAAAACATACAACACCGGGCATTCGCCGGTCGTCACCGACCCGACTACTACTCCAGCCCTCACTAGCTTATCTATGGGAGAGCGGACGGGATCCCGAGTTCTCCAGTGGGTATGGTCGTATGTACTAGTGCACGCCCAGTCGATTGCCTATACTGCAAAGTCATTGCGCAGAAAGGATGGCGAGAGCATGCGGGACGCTGTTGAGGTCTATCAGTGAGGTGGGGAGCACAGTGCAGTGGTCCGCGACGCGCGACTTTGCGATGGCTGACGTGTTAAGTGTGTACGGATAGCGGCCCTTCTCTACCTGAGATGTCGCGTGCATACCACGTGCCCGACGTAAGGTTAGATTCAGAGAGAGAGTATCAGACGGCGCGGGGGCCGGGATGTGTAATTGAAGGCGGATGCGATGGCTGATGTAATTAGAGCACCTACCAAAAGTACTTTTAGGATGGGTACCCTGGGTGTCGTGTGATTGCGACTTCCATGCAGTGGCTAGTTGTGTCCTTGCCTATCTCCCCGGGGCCGTGTCAATCGGAAGAGAGTTCCATTTGCCATAAGTGGCACCCAGTTATATCCCCAACTTATTGTGGTTCTAGATGCAGGAGTCAGGTAGAGGTTTAGCAAGCTTCCATCAGATTCGCATCCTTAGTTATATCCAGTCGTGCTTGCAACCAGGTCAAGCCCCCAAAGCCTCCATTGAGTGTCGTTCCTGAAACTATTGTTGACTTTCTTGAAATATTCGTACTTCCCGCTTAAACTAGTCGCAGTTGCTCTTAGCATCGCCGATATCCGTCAGCCAATGCATACATATCTGGCGCTAAAGACGTGGTCGATCATGGAGAAACCATAGATTATGCATGAGTGATTAGTTGGTTACATTAGGTTCTGTGAGGTTGAAGTTGTCGTAAACACACTGGATTTCATAGCCCATGAAGTCAATTGTTCACTAATAACAGCGCAAGCAGAGATACCATGATTCAAATCGCTGTTTCCGTCATCCGTAAGCTAGAATGCTTCGAAACCCTGGCAGAAAATGAATGTTGTAATATCTCAACAGTGCCGAGAGATCCGAGCATGGACCTCTTTACCTTACACGAGGTCCGTAGCCTGATGATTGCGGGCTGAACCGCGGCAGGACAAGAGACCCTGGGGGCTGGTATAATTAGCTCAGGCATCCACCTTCCTACGGCGCCTGCATCTGAAACTTGCAACCCCTGTTCTTCGCCAAAGATAGGGTTTTGACCATTCCTGAGCCCAGCTTCCCCCTGCGATAACGCCCGCAATCGTGTCTATGTTGATCTGCTTCCCAAGTCAGTCTGCAAATGTGCCACCTCTTTAGGCCCCTCCACGATGGTCAGGAAAGCCAGGAACGCCAGGAAAGAAAGGAAGGAAAATAGAAAAGAAGAACCCCGGTGAGCGTTGCTGAGTGCAATTTGAACGCAACTCATATCCAAAGGCTGTAATCCTCACTGTGAGAGCCACTCCTAAGGTTTTAGGCTCACGTGGAAGACATGGCCTCCCGTTCAGGGATGCTTACTTGTGGAGCAGTGACAGTCCTGCCTCGGGACCCCAAAAAGGAATGTTTACCCGCGAACTGCTAAGACATGGGAGGGTTCCAGAACAAAATAAGGTTCGTTGTCAGCGGCGGAGCGCGGCCAGCCAAGGCCGCATGCACTAAATCTCAAATGAGACATGGCACTTGGCACTTTGTCGAGGGGCCTGGAGCATCCGGATTGCCGTTCAACGACGCCAAACTAGGATATCGGCTTAGCAGGAATTCCCACAACATTAACGCCCTGCATTATGCTGCTGTTTTTAGACACTCATGGCAAAGATTCTCATATAATTAAAGTCCTGCATTAAACTGCTGCTTTTAGACATCAACCATTAAGTAAATGACCATGTTTCCAATTGACTAGTCCAATGAATATGACCTCAAGAGAACTGCCTTCATATATGAGTCGAGAGAGCGCGAATAGGCCACCACCGATCGCTCTACATTCTTCCACCCACGTTCCTTAGAAACGTTCACTCTCGTTAATTGAATATGAAATTTGACGCCCAACGCTCCTTGTCTGTCATCTTGAGCTTTCTTTCACTCTCTGCAGTAGCATCTGACCTGCAGGGCGAACCATACCACAATGCTGTTCCGATCCTCCGACGAGCCACCCCCGTAAGGAACGGAACCCATACGGGAAGTGTCGCACTCTCATCCAGCCGCCGTCCTTCGTCTTTGCCACCATCCTCTGTGCCACCGTCTTCTGCCGCACCTACTACCCGTCCACTTACCATCACCAGCCCCCCTGTCTCTTCAGCAGCACCCACGAGCAGTGCCACACCAGTGACCACTACGGTCAGCAATGGAGACACCATCGTTGTTCCCGTTGGCGTTGTCGTCGTTGGAGGACCCGGTGGTGGCTTCTTTACCATTGCCGGTGCCGCTGCTGGGGCCGCCCCGGCGGCTGTCGCGGCCGGCGCATCCGTCACTGCCGGCTCTTCGTCCGGTGACAAACCTGACGATCCGGACGATCCGAACAAGCCGCCTAGCTCTGTACCCGAGGCGCCATCTTCCGCACCACCTTCATCTGCACCGCCTCCATCTTCCAACTCAGTGGCACCTACGAGTACGGAAGCCCCAACGAGTACCTCAAGTGCCGTGCCGAGCGAAACGCCAGCACCGCATGTCATCTACCCCCAAGACAGTGCCACAGACCAAGACAAGAAAGACTTCCTCGCTCTGGTAGATAAGAACCTTGGTCAAGGTAATTACAGAGTAACAGAGGGTAGAAAAGTTTTGTTCGTCGCCGCCAATATCACAACCACGCAACGTGAGAACCTCATCAAAAATCCCTTGGTACGGCGAACTGCTCCGTCCGGCTGCAACACACCTTTGCATATCAATTGACCATCAGCTAACAAACCTACCAGGTCGGTGGAGCCGATCCTGACCAGCAGGATCGCAACAACAATGGTGCATCTGTGCTGATCGAGGAAAGAGACCCCAGTGATGATGAGGTCCACGAGAAGTGGTGGATGGAGTCGCTTGACAAGCTCGGGAGAATTCGAAAGCGCGCCGTGGTCAAGCAAGCTAGTGCCCCGACAGAACTCGTCATGCTTTCTCAGCCGCCTGGGGTGGACCTCAAAACACTCAACGCTTATACATACGACGATAGTGCCGGAGCCGAGATTACCGTTTATGTTCTTGACAGTGGATATTACGCTAGAAACGCTGTGGGTACAATTCTTTCAGGTCTATCTAGGCGGTGAAGTTGACTAAGCTACGTGAACAACCAGGAATACACTGGTATGGCCGTGAAACCCCGCTGGATATTCGCAGGCTCCCAGGAGGAAAGGTCCGTTGAAGAGGATCTCGACCCTGATGGACACGGTACTTGTGCCGGATCCAAGATTAACGGTCCCAAGTTCGGAGTCGCAAAGCAGGTCAACCTGGTCGTGGTCAAGGCTGGAACCCAGGCTTCCGATACCGATGACGCTCTTGACAGGATTGTGGAGGACGTCAGGTTGAAGAAGCTACAGGGAAGAGCCATTGTCAACATTTCGCGTTGTCGTACGTATAATCTTTCCACCATCTGCAGCTTCTTGCTTTCCAACGGATCGAAGGCTCATCAGCTTACATGCGCGAAGGTTTGGATAGTGCAACTGAATTCAGTAAGAAAACGATGAGAGAATATGTGAATGAGATGATTCTTGAGGACATCATTGTGATTGCGGCAGCTGGAAACGACAACCGTCCTGAAGTAGCTGTAAGTAGCCCAGCGGAGTGATTACTAGTCCAGGCCCGTGAGCTCATTGCATACATCTAGCAAGGAAAAGCAAAAGCTGCCGACATCGATAGCTGGCCAGGCTTGATGGCTAAAGACGGCGTTCCGGTCATCAACGTTGGGGCCGTTGATAACACGGGAAACAATGCCAGCTTCTCTCAAGGAGGACCTCATGTTCATGTCATGGCACCTGGTGTTCAGCTTCAGTGTGCTGCCAATTCCTTTTTCTCCGGCACGCGAAAGAATGACGGCACATCGTTTGGTTAGTAACTCCAACCTAAGATCAACATACTAGGCAAAGGCCGTCCTTACTAACTGATGCATCCCAGCTGCACCCACTGTGGCCGGTCTTGCAGCTTACCTTCTTGCGGTTGGAGAATACCCGCAGCTGTTCGAGATTGGAAAGGTAGCCGCCAACATGCAAAAGCTCCTCATGGATATGGCCTACCAGCGATCTCCTGACGGAGGACCGGTTATTTTCAATGGTCAGGGTGCCGTCTGTGGCCGTCCTGGGCGAAGCGCCAAGTTCAAAAGACAAGACCTTAGCGGCGAGGCCTGCTCGGTAGTCTCGTCAACAACGACGATACCCTCTGCAACTCCTAGTCCTCCTCCGGCCACAACTAGCGATCCACCTGCGGCAACAAGCGCGCCGCCACCGCCGCCACCCCCTCAACCTGCGCCCAAAGAGCTCTTCTCACTGAGCGAGCAAGTTAGCGCTGGTACTTCGGCGTGTTTTCCCACGAACGCCTTTAGTGCAACAGCTGGAACAACGTACGGCTTTTCATTCGATGTTAGCCCAGACATGATCGTGAGCATCGAGACAGGGTCAACAGACGAGGGATATCACCAATCCAAGGGACCGTGGTCAGGCACCTTCCTCGCCCAGTCAACTTCTTCGGTCAAGATCTGCGGATCTGGGGGGTCAGGCACTTTAGCCTTCAAGATCACTGAGGAGCCCTCCGAGGCCGTCAAAGCACCAGCCGGCAAGGAGGTATTCAAGTTGGACGAGAAGGTTGCGAGTGGGACGACGTCTTGTTTCCCGACTACTGGTCTGAATATCCAAGAGGGAAACTACGGGTTTTCGTACACTACCTCCGATGGTATCGAAATTCAGATCGGAGACGATAGTTCTGGGCCAAAGTATTTCACTGGAAACAGAGCCTCGGGTGCAGGATTGATGTACATCGACTTCTCGGGGGGCAGTATCTCAATTTGCGCGACAAACAACGGTGGTTCGGAGGCACCTCTTTCATTGACTATGACCCAGTAACGTATATAAATTAGAAGAATGCATGAATGATTCAATGACTGGATATGATGAGCGATGTTGAGATCGATTGGTCGCGCTGACGGAGTGAGATGTGTGCTGGGTGTTAATTCCATCGACAAGGCTCACACGGAAGTCACCTTTGAGAAATTCCGACGGCTCTGGAAGCTTCCAGATGCGGGCGGGCCAAAAGCCGGGAACAAGCTCTTTAAATGTTTCTTTTTTTGGCATGTTTTGATTCAAAGAACTCAAAGAGTATCCCACACCCGTAGCATCCACAGGTTGGTGTGCAGTGACTCAAAATGTAAACGGAAGGACGCATACTACATCCGCCTTCGCGCTTTCTCTTGGGGCGTCGCGTTGCTGGTGGACAGACCGCGAGATAAAGAAAGTGACGGCGTCGCGTTGGGTCGAGTACAATCGAGGAAGCCACGCCGCACCGACGTGCCTTCTATTCCAGGCCTGCCTGCTTGCCCACCTTACCTACCAAGACCTTGCAGCCAGCAGCCAGCAGGCACCCACCTACCCACGCGCAGCCTTACCCAACAAGTTCAACAACGCGATCGCCTCATCTTAGAGGAGGCTGGCTTCTTTTCCCCTCGGAAAGAACACTTCCTGGCTCTGCGACATTGCCTCTTTTCAACCACGGTCGCCGCTTTGAACTGCGACAGAAGCCATGGCTGCCACCACTCGATCAGCGTCACTTCGGCCCCAGGACTGCTCTGAATCTCTCAGACATCGCCGGCAGCGTATCGATTCCCAGTCGCAGAAGCCAAAAGGTATGTGTTGCTGCCCTCTCAGGTATGCCTTTCCACTGGACTTCTTCTGATATTGCTTTTCTAGCGATGGAGGCTGAGCCAAAGCCCGGTGCCGCCCCGAAGGAGAATGCCAGTCTCCAAAAAGGCTACATCCGCATCATCATCACAAACTGCGTTGCGACAGACGAGACTGCCTCCACGTTGTTGGACCAGCTGCAGGCTCTGGAACCGCTGGTCGCCAAAGGTTCTTCCTGTAGAACTTTCAAGGGCAACAGCGAAAAGATACTCATCGAGGCAGCCATATGCTGCGAGATCACCGCGGCAACTATGGGCGACTTTGAGACCATGATTCAAAATGTTTTGCCGGAATCCAGCTACGAGATCCACGTCCGCCCCCTGGGAGGCCCCCCTTTCCTTCCCTATGTCTAGATGGAGATACCGAGACATGGACTCGAAAGCGGCTGGAGAGAATTTCGGGGTGGATGCATAAACGGACGGAAAAGCAGGCAGTTGGGCAGTGGGCGGGCGCGTATTGAAGCGGGGGAACATAGTCGTAGTCTTCTACGCGAGAACTCATACCCAATCCCAAAGTTCGTTCCAGAAGTCGCCATATCCCCAATGCCAGACCGCGATCATCCCTTCTTTGTCGACGATGTCTCTGATCTGGTCCCCATGTGCGTGGAGTTGGCAATGGCTACATCAACGGGTGAAAGACCTGACGAGTCACCACTGGGTCTATCCGCGCGACCAGAGGCCATGTGATGCCATCGACCTGGACCCGGCAGGATACACCTACACATTGTATTCTTTTTGGAGTAAACACCGACGGTCAACGAGGAGACCAGTCACTACACTTCGGCCTCCTTCTCGGATTCCACGCCGTTCAAAGGCACGTGCCGTCCGTTCAAGGTCTCATCTCTTCCCGGTCCCGAAGGAAAGGATGCTGCCCCCTCTTCAGACAATGCGGTCTTAGGTCTTGCTTCATATCGTCATCACCCTTCTCTTTGTCCATTGAGCGTCCAGACAGGCATCGTCAGAGCTCCTTGCTAAACGCTCCTTTGCTGATGGTAGCTTCGAAGTGCAAAGTGGCCCTGAAGTAGTGGTAGCTCCTGGAAACTGCCAAGCAGTAGCTTTCGTTGGGGCAGAGTCGGGTTCTTTCTCACATCCTCGGGCCATTGGAGACGCAAGGAAAGGACGCTTCGATGCACTCACTGCCCATGCAGGTGCTGTATAAGCAAGGCCGAAAGTCTTGGCGCTGGAAGCGACGGAACATTTCCGCCATGGAAGCAGTGGGTTCACTTTCCCTGGACCGGCCTGCTGTGATTCAATGGTTCGGATTTGGTTTAACGAGATGGTGCTGTATTGTGCTTTGAAAGTAACGGTGGAACTCGCGGGTGGTGTGTGGTTGGGCGCTTGAGGTTTGCGGAAAGTGAAGACCCCCATCGTCTCCCTCTGGGATGGTTATATTGGAGCCCACTTGACCGCTCATTGCCATCCTCGCCCGTAAGGGGCTACAATGCACACCTTCTTGATCCCCGTCTGCCCCAAATCAAACCGCAGCCTCCACCGCATCTTCGCGGTAGCTCTCTTTCAAACATTTCGACCATTCTGGCTCCTCACCGTCAGCGGTTACCGACGATCCCGAGTCACTCTTTTGGTCAGACTCCAAGTCCTCCGATTCTCCCTCCATCTCATTGATATTGCCGTTGTTATCTGTCGTGAAGAAATCCAGCGCTGCTGGTCCCCAGGCATCAGGCTTCGAGGCCTGGTCAATGTCGCAGAAGCAGATAGTTTGAGCAGTCTGAGATCGTAGGCAATAGAGTTAGCTTAGGACGTGGATGTTGAAGGAAAGGAGACGAAAGGAAACAGAATCATCAGCACGGTCCGACTCACCAGCCTCGAGCTGTTGTCCTGGGCCTCGCACCACTCTCTCAGACCTGATGTGGTCACGCGGCCTTGGAGGACGTTCTTCCAGACACCATCATCGAGGGAAGACGTCTGCAAATCCTTGAGAACAGCAGACGAGGTACAGAAATGGACACTGATGTCGAGATCGTGGCCGAGGACGGTGGTAACCTTGTCCTGAGTCAATGAGCGCAGAAGCCCCGACAGGACTTCACTCGAGACAAGGAGAACGGTCGGGGCAAAGGGCGGCGAGGCTTGATTTGCATCATTGCTGAAACAGGTCAGAAAGGCCAGCAACTGAGCCCAGTCGTGTTCGTTTGTCGGCAGCAGCGATGTCTTGAACTGGGCTGTCAACAGCCTGGGTCCTGCCATCGTGGAAGTAGGACACAGCCTGGGTCGTCTGGTACTGCGTCGACAGTGTTGAGTTGAGTGCGGAAGGAGCTTGGACGAGGTGGCTGCCCGAGCCAAGGTAGGCAGGTAGGTGGCTGGGTTTGTGGGTGGGGTGCTTTCAGGTTGTTGATGGAATGGGAAGACAGTAAGGATCTACTCGAGTAGTCGCAGTGAATGCGAAGTGACTGTCGAGTGGGTTTCAACGCAGCGCCAGCAAGACCCAGTGGTAGCCCAGACGTGCCTGCCCCATCCGGGCCTTCCACAGCAGTGTTAACAGACACTCCCGTCTGTTACGGCCAACCCACCTGGCCAAAACTTGAACATATGGGAAGATCCTCGTGGTGTTCTGTCCTACTCAGAACTATGTGTGCTTCTTTGCCTTTGTAGTTGGTCTTGTCATCAACAAGATACAGTGTCTACGCCCTCTAGAGCTTTCTGTTCTATTTGGATCTGCCGCAGAGAGACGGGGCGAATAATCTGGTTTGCATGCATCAAGTGTTGAATCGCATCTCCGTGAGACTTGATAGTCGTTTCATCCAACTGTTCTTCAACGAAATCGAGCCTCCAACCGTTATACTGATGCATCACAGCTTCCCAAGCTTGGGTTATGGATGGGCTCATGGCAAACTTCCATGTGCCCCTCCAAAGAACCACTGCTTGCGGGATGTTGCGGAACGCCTGATACCTAAAGAGCGCCGCTAACCCCTTTCGCCCGGTCCAAATCTCCATAGTAACTAGTTGGGGCATTTTCATAGCTGCTGCTGCCGCTTGCTGAAGCATTGCTTCAATCTCAACTAAATTCCCGCCGGGCGTAAGTAGCCTTGAAGTAAGAGTAAGCGAGGTAAGGCTCGGCCACTCCCAAGTGGGTTGAATCTCGAAGAAACTGCTAGCGTCCACGATGAAGGATGCTGCGAGATGCTCCAGCTTGAGACTGGCGAGAGCGACTATCCGGCTAACATCTGAATCAGGTTTGCGAAGACTGTCGCATTGAGCCAAGTCGACTCCGTTTAGGAATCGCTGTATCGTAGCTGGATACTGTTGATTGAAGTTCTCAAAGACTATGAGTCTCTTGAGACTGTTGTTGAAGAGGCGGACAGACTCAAAGAGATATCGGTATTCTAGACAGAGGATTTAAACATCAGGAAACAAGTATGTGAAGAAAGTCAGAGCGAGCAATGGCTTGGAAGTGCAGGGTGGCGGTGTGGCAACACTCACCTTTGTCTGTAATGTGTTGTGGGAAGTCCCATTCTCTCCAGGGCTCGTAGTGAACTTCTTTGAGCCTAGGAAACCGGGCAAACATATGTGCCAATGACCGCGGCTTCCATCTACGGCGATTCTGTTGGCGGAGAAGTAAACCGGTCACGGCTGGGACTGCTGGAAGCTGATCCCACCATTGGAGCTCTGACTGATCACTGCTAAACGGCCCCTGCTCCATAACTGAATGGAACATCCTTCCGATGGCATGTCGAGGCGGAGCGGCGTGTTGAAACCCAGCAACCCAACCGTGTCGAGGGTCATAATAGTGTCGGCTTGACCTTGCTTTCTCGATACCATACTCACTCGACATACTCAAAGGGGCGTCAGACAGAGAGGTAAGATATGGAAAATAATGCTCCGAGTCGCTGGGCGAGTAGATACTAATATCTAGTATCAAATTGCGGCGAATATCCCATGTGCTGAGAATCGAGAACAAAACTCGGAATGCGGTGGTGATGGGACATTTATCGGTGTCACTGATTTCAAAAGCTTCCCCCCACTCTTCTAGTGTGAGCCTTGTACCATCAGGTACGCATGTGTTGCAGTCGTAATTATCAAGCTCCAAGCAGAGCCAAATGTAGCTGACGAGTGCCTGGTTTCTTTGAATCATTCCATCAAAGTCGACGAGGCGTGATGGTGTCAGTCTGATTCGAGAGAAGTTATGTCGCTCGATCTCGGTTTGCCACTCTCGGGACACAGTGGCCAAGAGACCTAGAGAGCAACCTGCTTGCATTAGGTCATGTATGATAAGAAGGCGGATCTCTCTAGGCAAGCGATGCCATTTCGACCACTGTTGTTTCGTGTTAGGTGGCGTTGGAAGCATCGTGGCAACAATCCCATAATTTGGCAATAGAGGAGGATGTGTAGGAAGTCTTGAGATGTGAGGTTATGCGAACTGATGAAAAGTAAAATAGCATCTGAAATTATCAGATGCACAGAAAGATATGATGTAAGTAGGATCTGTTGTGACAGTAGTTGTGTGGTGGAGACTGGAGCTGGTAACTTGTTTGTTAAACACCTTTTTGCAAACAAAGGAACAACCCTTTCAACCTTACAGCAACTTTCCAGCGGACCTTGGCAGCTTGAGAGAAACATTTCGCGTAATGCCCTCGGTTCAAAGGGGCACCCGCGAGTATATTGTACTTTTTTTTTAGGAACATGTACGACGTCATAGCTTACCGCGTAGTATGAATGACAGAACAAGCAAATATCGACCTTGCGCTCGTACTCTGGCTGGTCGAGTGATCATCAAAGTTGTAGGTAGACGTGCATTGGATCTTAGCATGCGTGCGCGTCCGTGGGAATGCCAGCCAGGCGGTTCATGTTGACATGAGATGAGGGGAGGACCGAGCTGCACGCGCCGTCAACGTGTTTTTAGCTTGTAACTGGATGCCAGTGTCACTTAAGGTTCCGTAAAAGGGTACAGAGTAAGACACCATATCTGGACCAGACCATCCACGATGATTGTCATTGACTTGTTCAAAGAGCCCATTCAACCAAATCAATAGAGGCAGAGATCAGGGGCTGGCCATCTGAATGATCGGACTTCTGACCCAGGGGACTATCGCCCAGCCGTTCCACCCGATGTAAATATCTATTGTCTCAAAGGGTGCTGCGTCATCTACCTATGAATGTCTCAAACGAGCTAACGTTGTGTCCCCATGCTGAGTCACACAAACTATTGGAAAGCGTTGATTTCCGCGTGAAAAGTTGATTCTGGGCGTTCTCGGACCTGTCATTAAGGCACAGGGGGTGGGGGGGTTGGTACGAGTGTTGCCAGCCCATACGTCCCCAAGTCTTTTCGTCAATTGCAACCTACCTCCTCGTCTCTGCATCTGGTCTACATCTAACCTTTTTCGTGGTACCCTTGCATGCCAACTTTATCCGGGTGCTTTGCAGCCTTTCTTGCTTATCTTGAATCTTTCTTCCCTTCTAACTTTTCTTCCGCAGTTTGCCGCCTGGAGGCGCACCTTGTTGACTGCCGTATGACTCTCACGGGGAAATATTCGAGGGCTTGCTTATCTTGAAATCTGACCATTCAAAGGCGCATACTCATCACGTATGCACGCACTCTGCTTCTTCGTTATTGTTACAAGAGGCAGGTAGGGTGAAATGGACCTCTCATGGTACTGGAATAGGTAGGAGGCTCCCACCAAATTGAGAGCTTTTCATTCAAAAAGCCACAGGCACCTCAACCAAGAGAGTTCGACCAGTCTGGGGCAAGCCACCACATCCACGGACATATTCGGACAACCTTGGATGCACCCTGTCTGCTTAAGTTTTCCACAGAAGGCCTTCGTTGCTATTAGCTCCCTCTTCTTTCCTCTAAAGCTGCTGTCACATCACTACCCTTTCTTCAACTCTTTCATTATTCAGCATGGGGAACAGTCGTCGTAAGTCACCTTCAGGCTGCCACCAGGGACACGGGTGTCAAGAGCACAATCTAACTATTAACCACAGCGCCCATTGGGGGCCTTACGGCAGGAACAACCCCGTTTCAGGGAGGTGACCTGATGGAAGAGTCGATTGATCACCGGAGCTCGTGCCAAAATAGCTGCGATGGATGCTCCCAGGACAGCCAACAAAGCGTCACGGTAGGCGGCGACGACTGCCATCACCACGGCGATAACGCCGTGTATGTCCCCGCTGTTGACAGGAACGTCAACAACATTTATCCTCCCTTCCGCGATTATTCTGCTTATGATGGCCATGGATTGGCGGCATCAGCCCAAGGCCCTGCTTCCCAAGGCCCTGCTTCAGCTCAATTACCAACACTGAATTATCAGCCAACCAGGTCTTACTTCACCACAGATATGGCTGCGAGTAGGGGCTATTTTGATCCTATCCGTTCGGCTAGCCGTGCGCCTAGCTTTGTCTCTAGCTATCCGCCTACCTATATGCCTAGCTATGAGCCTAGCTACTCCTTTCCGCCCGTTCCTCCTCAGTCTCCCCTTCCACCAAGGCCTCCCGTTACACCAGATGCACCTACGTCTTCCGTTCCGCTTAGCTACGCGAACAATGAATTACCCCCTCGTGTCGATAGCGATAATCGCACATGCATCCACAACGATTGTTTCAGACGGTGGCTCGACGAGAACGAAGACTCTCCCTCCAATAAGGATGTTCAATCTTACCTCGGCGACGAGTTGTCGTATGTGTACTCCTCGGAGGAAAGCAGCTCGTGCCCCGGCAAGGAGGAAGAGGAATGGAACTCCTCTGACGAGCTGGACTGGGAAGAGTTCCAGGACTTCTCCGCCCCCTTGTCCAATGAGGATACCATTGAGACTACGACGGGGAATGGGCACACGACAAACGAGACCTTCGAGGATAATGAGAACCAGGAAGAAAGCCAAAGGTTGACCGACAGCACCAATGGCCGCATAAACACGTCTAACGTAAGTAGGGAGTGCACCCCGTCTCAAGAGGATGGCCATGGTGATATGGTGTTCCTCTATGCCATTGAGAATTCTGATATTGACCACGTCGATCGACAAGGTAAGCCGTTAACCCTAAGGTGGTTGCATCCCCTTTACCTCAGTGGCTCTTACTAAAACTCTGTACCAGGCAACACCAATGGTCAAACGACGACGCGTCCCTCTGGCGCATGCAAGCGCAAATTGGAAGCAGAAGAATCTGTAGAGGAACATGAAGACAGTGACAGCAACAACGAGAGCCTGTGGGCGACTAAGCGGGCATGCATTGCCCAAACGCCCCAAGAGGAGGCCGACGGGGATGAAGGTCGTCTTCTCGAGCCGAGTTTACAAGATCCTGTGAAGTTCTTGGCCGGCACGATCGACCACTCCAGCAACAGCTCTGTTCGCAACGATGACATGCCGATTATAAACAGAAGTGACCAGCAGAATAGTGAGCAGCTAGATTACCAGCTCGAGCTGATCTTTAAGCTTTCTCAAATGGGGCCAGCGATTGCCAGCTCCGATGCTCCCATCTACGATAGCATCTACGCCACCATTTGGGGCATGGCGGTGGCAGCTTTACAAGCAGCCGCCAGCGAGGGACTTCTGGACCGATTAGAGTGGTGGCGCTCGCAGGCAAAGGAGAAGGTTGAGGGCCGTGGTCCTGCGAGGGCGAATGGAGAGGATGGCGGCCTGGAGGTTCCCGTTGCGAAACCTACTGGCGAGGACCTTGGGGACTTCTATTCAAGTTCGGCCTAAGTCTTTATATGCATGTTCTCTGTTGAGATTTCTTTAGCTGTAATCGTCAAGTTTTGAGTCAGGCTTTGATTTTGACGTGCTCGACAATGATGATCTGCCTCGACTCCCAAGGCCCCACTGCGAAGGGAGCTTTTGTCTGACCGCGACAGGCTGGGTACACACCATTAGGGACCTTGACAGACTCTGGAACTAGACGCGACATTTAACAGCAGACGATGAGCATCTTGCGGCGGCCATGTCTACTCCCTCCGTCAGCACGGCGCATCTTGCCTTGCCGTTCAACCAGACGCTGCCGCTACCATCACCGCACTCGCGGCAATGTTGTGTCGTCTCTTCGTTCACCCTTCTCCTCTTGACCGATGAATGACAGACTCCTAGTGTCTTTGGATCTCGCTCATAACTATTCATGGTCCCTTTACCAAGAAAGTCTTCCTTGACGTGAAGGTCCTTGGCCCAGTGAGCATGCAACAAGGGTATTTTCCGAAGGTGCCTCCAGCTGAAAGTATCTGATGGCTAGGACCCAGTCTGGATCGGTTCTGTTAAATTGGGTTCCCCCATTTTTCCGCGTATAATGTATATGTCCGGGTGGTTTTCTATCATACTTGGCTCTCATAATTTATCGCTCATGCTCGGTCCAGTAGAGCCGAATCAGTATCGCAAACAACTTTTGGCAAAGCCCGCACTCAGCCTTCAGGGGATTACGCCGAGATTGCCACCTAGACCTACAAGAAAGGAAGGGGAATTTCGGCGTCAAACTCGCATATAGAGAAATACTTCGCGAGGGATCACGCCGATGGATTAACCTGGAGTCCGAATATTGGAACAAATTTTGATTTTGGAGGTTCTTGAGTATGCTCCATGATTCAAGCCATAGCGCGGCCTTAGTCAGATGGGAAAGCTTTGACTGCTGAGAGCACCAACACCAAGAACCTCGCGGCAGGAAGAAATGGAATCTCGACGGTGGACTCGACTGCGAGCTTGCACTTGTTTAGGTAGACCTAATCTGTCATTTCCAATGGCTGTGTTCTAGGTCCTGCTTAGCAAGATGGACTAAGACATTCCTCATTCATATTCATATTTTAGTAGCCATCGGCTCGAATTTAGCCTACTTTATCATTTTACATTTCGCTTTCCTTGCAAAATCGCAAGTCGCCATTCTTCGTTCAGTATTCTTCACCCACAGCAAGGCCAAGTATGCATAGCAAAGCTTTAGGTCAGACACAAGTTCAAACCCCTACATAGAGGACTCTGCAGTCTTTAACTAGTTATCCATTCATCACCAATTTCCAGCACGGCCCCACACGAAAGTCTTCAACCAGATGCCCATCTTAATTACTCTAGGGCTGCTGCTTAGTTTTATGCAACAAAACTTCAACCCTCATTTCATAGCTTCCCAGCGAGAAGCAATTTGACCAGTAGTCCTCTGCCAGGCCGGTCTGCTGCTAACACTCTTCCACCAAGAAGCCAAGCTAGGCAGGTCTTAAAGAAATTCAGGGTCAGTCTCCAGCAAGCAGTATACGAAGATTGCTGACCAAACATCTATGAGGGAGAAAGTGTTGCCTGTCAAGTACTGCCGCGCAGACAATATGCGGTCGAATACTTTCAAATTGGCCTTCACCTAGCGCAGAGACTCATCGATTGCCCCCGGGTCAACTGGAACGCCAATTTTCCTATCATGGCACGTAAGTCAAAGTCCTCCTTTTGCAACTGCAACAAGACCGATTGAGCTACATACAGGTGCACGACTTTCTGCTTGAGATACGTGATAGATGACGCGGCAAGATACGAGGACTCAACACATGCAGCCTCCTCAAATTGAGCGACGGCTTTGTAATCCTCAAAGTTAGGCAGAAGAGCAGTGCCATCACTGGCGTACTTCACCGCCAGCCAGCGGGAAATAGCTCTGCATTCTGTGTCATGCCACATCTGGTCAGCACAAAGGTCTCGGCCTATTACCTTGGGTGAGTGCGGCTACCGCAAACTTTCGTGATATTTCCATCAGCGTCAATGTCCTCCACGATGGGCACTTTCCCAAATGGGTGCTTGGCATTCATAAGATCCCGCTGCATACAACGAATCATCAGCAGTGGGACGGGTCGGGTGAACTGACTGCCATTGTCATTGTTGCCAACTACGTCAAGACTCATACCTTGGTTTCGTGGCTGAAGAGCTTGACGTCGACGTGTTCGAAGGACGAACCCTTCTCATGAAGCGTGAAAAGACAAATAATAGTGAAGGGGGAGAAGAAGTCTCCGTACAACTTGATAATTGAAGCCATTGTAAGGTAATTAACTGATGCTGACTTGATGAGGCAGTGACAGCAGTGAGCTAACACAACACGGGGTACAGCAGAAAACCTGACATGTGACCAAGACGGGTGAAGAGAAACGTAAGATTTAAGATACGAATAAAACAAATATGGAACTTGTTCGGATTTTCCGGACAACTCCACGAAATCTGTGTTTCTCTTGGCAAGATACGCATACCGTCTCACCATTTGGCTGCCAATGTGATAAGTGAGACCCCGCTTCAGAGGGAATCCAGTCTGCGGAAGAGCACCGGGGCCGGGGCAAAGTTTGTGTCCATCCGGCCCCACATTCCGCAGGAGTTGGTCTTTGAGAGATTTCGACATGTCACACAGAATTAAGCTTGTCCTAAGAGATTCCTTGTTGAAAACACTTCTCTGGCCTTATTCTGAAGTTGCATTTGGGGCAGTCGCTAGTTGATTCAAGCCAAAGAACCCCTTCATGGGTAGTCTTTCGCTCTCTCCATTCATGTAGGGACGATGCCGGGTCCCATACAAAGAACTTGGGGTGGTCATTTTTAGGGTTACCCACATGGCCATAGAGACAGTAGTAAGTATTGATGATGCTTTTCAAGTCTGGTTGTCATACGCACTTGTATCTTCCTGGGAGAGGATGAGTTGGCAACGGCCGTTCGATTGCGGCGTTCGCACGTTTCTTTCCACACACATCAAGAGCTGGTTCTAGCTCTAGTGGCGTCCAAGAGAATTTATGAAAGCAGTCTTACAATCAATTTCATGTTAACTACGAGACATCAGAGCTTCGTGCGAGAGATCCACACAAGGCCACGGCCTAAATCATACTTAACTCCGGGGTATTGTCGACCGCTAGAGTCCTGCCGAAGAGCCCTTGAAATTTGGTGAACAGCGTCAAAATATTCAGCCACTGGCCCGCAAGGAACAAGAAGGCCCTCGAGGATACCTCACTGGTGTTTAAGGGCTTCGCTGAAGTTAGCTTAGAGCGACCAAACCGTGTACATGGCTTCAAATATGGGGAAATAACTCCTCAACTTACAATGAAGTTATCTCCGCCGCTCTTCCTCACTCAGCCAAACGCTCGAGGTATCATCTCACTCTCATACTTAACAACTGCCTTGGTTATTTCTTCAGTTGACACGCCATCCTTGTGGGAATAATGGCTCGCTAGCCCTGTCAGAAATGGAAGCGTCTTGCCGGCGTCGTACATGGCTTGGTTACCGCCCTGGCCACTGTGTATCGGTTAGCGAATACTCTGGTGTGGTCAAGATCGAGCGTTTTGAAAAGGACGACACCCCTGAAACCCCCAGCAGGCGCCGGGCGGGATTCCGGAGAGCGGACGGCTGCCGGCAGGCGTGAATACTGAACTCACCGAGGTGGTAGCATGGCGTGAATAGCGTCGCCCATGAGCCAAATCCGAGGGTGACCGAGCTCTGGCTTATCTTCCGTCCGGACGTTCTGCCGCCAGTTCTTGGCCGGTCGCTTTGCCACCCTGGGCACATAGATGTGGAGAGGAGCGCCTCTCATAAGGTCAATCATCTCGTGGCTATTCTCGTGTCAGTACAAAGCCTCCTGATCTCGCGCAAGGGAAGAAACAGCACCAACGATCTAGACTTACAACGGTGCCGCCCAATCCTGATGGCTTCCGCGAAAAAGTCGTATTGCCCGTCTAGAGAGCGCTCATGAATATCCTTTGGCAACATTTCTTTCGTGACGGCTAGGCTGAGCATGCACGAGGCTTCATCCTCGTCGTACTCCCGCCCCGCTTTCTTTCTTTCCTCCGCGACGTTCCTATTCGGAAGAAGCACTAATGATACCTTTTAGCGAAGAGTCCGAAATGGGAACCACGGCGAATGAGGTGGGGTGGGGCCGACATTCCTCCTTCTCTATGTGCGGTTGCCACTTACCTCCGAAAACCACATGCCTGTTATCCGCCCAGTACATCACTGGCCCACCGACCAACTCCTTGGACATCGTTGCGAACCGTTTGACCGGTAGACTACATTTGGCGGCGAGGGTTACATGCCTGGGGATGTAGTCGAGACTCTCGAGGCCGACCAACTTGTTGACCTTGGAGTAGCCTCCATCCGCGCCGATGAGAACGTCACAGTCGTCGTAGGATCCGTCACTCAGCCAGAAGCGGACCTGCTCATCGTTGGAGCCGGGGTTCAGGATTTCGTAACGCTCCATGGCGGTGTTGTACTGAAGCTTGCCAGCCTCGTAAAGGGGGTCAGCGAGACAATCGCGTAAGAGGCCGCGTGTGATGGGTGCGTTTTTGCCGTACGCTGGAAAGCGGCTCAAATCCATGAGCTGCGTCCAGTCTTTGTGGAAGATTCGGGGAGCTTCAGCCTTAGCCTCAGTGGCTGGGCCAAACTTCTTGACGATGGACAGCATGTGGTCGGTCTCGAGACACGCGCGCATGCCAGCCAATGCCGGTGATGTGAGGCGGATTTGAAGACCTTCACGCGTGGAGTGACGTTCCGCGCGCTCGTGAACTCCCACAGCTACGCTGTCCTTCATGAGCCCGCAGCCAAGAAGATTGCCCGCGAGGCCACCTCCGATACTAATTACCCTGAAAGGCATGTTGTTCAAGCAATCAGTCAGACTGTCTTTTGAGAAGATGATGTTCGTGTAAAGTTGATAAATATCAAAGATCCTGGGTGCATGTCTTACCACACGTTTTCCAAGTGCTGAAGGAGCTGACTGGAGCTGCTTTTGTACAGCGATACTTCGAATCTAGCACACTCGCATTCAACAGCATACAATCCAAGGTTCCCATCTAGTGTGGGGTAGGCTGAGGTTACTCGGGACCGAGCAGTATTGCCCACCCATCCATGCAGGGAAAGTGACGGAATGTGCCGCATATGCTGATCTGTAGTTCGTTGGCTGACTCGTCATCAAGAGATTGGAAACTCCGGGCCGGCATTTCCGGCGTTCCATCTGGTAGAATCGCACTGATCGTACGAGGAGCAATACTACAGCTATGTACTTTGCTTCATCGCTAGCGTACTGGGAAGTTAGACGTTTTGGTACAATTGGACATAAATAAACTAAATATCTAAGGATGTATTCGAAGAACTCATGAAAGGAAGACATCAAACGACCGCTTAGTCATTATCAAAACTGTTCATTTGGCTTATTCTATTAGCTGAGTTCTCCGTAAACTCTTTTTGTCTTTTTTCTTCTTTGAGTTGGATTCAAAGACAATGGCGGCGACTTTGCCATACCATGGTCCGTTTCTACGTCTCTCAGCTGGCTGCATTACGGACAGTTTCCCATGATCATCCCACGCAGATTACGTTGCGTTGTCAGGACTATTGCTCGACTGGGTCGACAGCTATGACAGCAAGGCATGTGTTACTCTTCTGCACGTCAGCCAATGGCTGCTAATCAACTCCAATTTTCCTTCTCGGGGACCGTTTCAATGACTGAATTCTAATACTGCATCGTTGAGATAGGACTGGAACAGGCTGAAGACCATCCTAGCGCCAAAGCTCACGGTGAGTTTCTAGGTCCCCGGTCATCTCTAGATGAGGGGTGTCAAAGCACCCACCAAAGCTGAGCAAATTGCAAGGTCGATTACAGCAGTATTGGGGGTCCGAAGCATGAGGAAATGGCAGCGGAAGACTTTGTCGCCGTGATTAGCGGCCCCGAGATGTTCGGCGATGCTTCACTAGGTACACAGCACCTCATCGGCGCCTCCAAGTGGGAAAGGATTGATGAGGACAAGGTTATTGGCCACCACCAGATGTGATCCACATCGGTACGCCTGACTGGCGCCAACAGCGGGGAAGAAAAGGTTGAGACGGATCGGAGGGTTGTTGTCATGCAGTCTTACGTCAAAGCCGACGGAAAATGGAAGTTGGCTGGGCTGAAGCCGATGGGTCGATGAGGAGTCCAGGATTACTTCTTGAGAGGAGTTACAATCATTTTGAACAGTAACGCAGCGAGTTCCTATGGTGCGCATGGTATCAGTGCCATGTACAAGGGATCTAATCTCGCTTTGCCGCAGCACGGTCTTGTCAACCAATCCCATATTGACCTACTCGCATGCTCACGATTCATGTTCGAGTGAAATATTGGCCAAGCTCTGTACAATCTTTCGTATATCCATTCACGAGTCGTTGCGGTACTGCAAGGTTACAACATGCCAAGCATACTGCGGTACATGTACTTACGGCACGGAACAGAATGCCTGCCCTTTTCTGGGGAACTCGTTGCCACTTACCGTCAGGTTGTGCTATTCTGCAACAGTAGCAGGGGCGAGCCATTGCCATGACACTGACCGGGTGATAGGCGTCCCATATACTGAGCGAAAAAGGGTTGGGTGTTGGCACTGCTCGGATAATCCAGAGAACCTGGAAAGTTGCAAACAGCCCTCCTGTTATAGCTTAAGGTCGTCGCAGTCGCCTTACGTGACTCAACGGCCATTTAAAGACGTACCGACCGTCAGTACTTAACGTGCACCCAAGTAAACGATATCAGTCAGATCACAACACCCATGCGTTGAAAGTCTGTTCCTCGCATTCTGGTGACACTTTCTCTTCTTGATTTTGTGGACTCAGTCATCGCAATTCTCATTCCATCATGGCTTCAGCTCCAATCTCTGTGAGGCGACCCGCGACGGCCAGCACTGTAGCAGACCCTAAGGTTCGACAATATTTTGCATTCTTGATTGAACCCAAGAACGAGCGTGTAGTCTTAAATTTGGAGACTTCAACTGACAGACACTCTATTATACAGTCATGGCCTCTCTGGTGGCGTCTCTGCATGTTGGGGTCTCTCAGCTGGTTCGTACTGATGGGCCAAGTCATGAGTGCTTCACTTCCACCGATGTTGGGGCCCATCATGTATGAATTGCACGTCAGTGCTGCGCAAGCTTCCCAGCTGGCAAGCTGGGCTGTTTCCGCCGGAGTATCTTGGTCGGGCTATGAGCGTCTACACCTGGTCACTCGGTGCCGGCACCGTCTTTGGTCCCCTCTTCGCTGGCTACATGATTGAAAGGCTCGGTAGCTGGCGTTCTCCGCAGTATCTTTTCGGCATCATTTCAGTACTCAATATGGTCGGCACAATCCTCATGTTCCCCGAGCCCATCATGAACATATGCATCCGAGGGGAACCGCCTCTGTTCTCTGCCCCAGACTCGAGCTGCGGAGACGAAGCCCCGGTAATCTCTAAGAAAGGACGGGAGACAATCGGTATGGAGAATCTAGGCCGCGGACGGTCTGTGCAAGATGAACAGCACGAGTTTGCTGCGCCGCAAATCCATCCAGCGACTTGGATAAATCTCTGGACGACGCGGTCCTTCTTTTTGCGTTTTACGCACCACCATTCGGTCAGCGGCTGGCTGTCCATGACCATGGCACCATACCGCATGCTAGCTGTGCCTGCTGTGGTGCTCACCGTCTTGCTTTTTGGTGTGTCCATCTCCACCAACATAGCAACCTCCATCCTCGTTTCTTTGGTATTCTCACAGCCCCCTATGTTGTGGTCCACTGATATTGTCGGACTGTTCAACCTGTTTGTGCTCGGAGGTCTCTGCGCAGGCATTCTCATTGGCGGCCTGCTGTCCGACAAGATGATCGCCTCATTCACTCGGCGCATGGGGTACCACAAGCCCGAATCGGCGTTGCCACTGCTGCTACCGCTTGGCATCGTCATCCCGTTGTCTACTGTACTGATCGGGTACGGATTGGCAGATGGATGGCACTGGGCCGCCATAGGCGTGCTACAGTGTCTTCAATGTGAACATGACATCCGGGTGTACTATCATGATATCGTATGCGACCGACATTTACGCGGCTAAGGCCGTAGACATTGGCGTCGTCGTCAACGTGCTGAAAAACGCGATCGCAGCCGGGCATCTCATTCGCTGTTGTGGATTGGTGGACGAAGGACGGCTGGTACATGTTCCATGCACTGGCTCTTGTCAAATTCCTCATTTTTGTCTTGGTGGCGCCCCTGTGGATTTGGGGCCCCAAGATTGCTCATGTGACGAGATCTTGGAGGTGGCTTCAAGGACATAACGTAAACTGAGAATCTCCCAGGGCGCAGTCATACGCCGCGATTGGGACAAACTTGTACGTTGTCCACGGGCGCTAGATGTGGCTCGCCACATCCTCAATGGGTATCCTTTCATGACATGACCTGGGATCTATATTTGTATCGTCCCTTGGCATAACTAGCCTATCCGGCAACAAATAATGATGCTTGTTGTCAGAATTGCTCAGTGCGATATAGCTAGATCTGAGGAAGTTGCTTCAAGCATGAAAAGAAACTGGGATGCCTGTCACGGCACGGAGTGGGGGGTGGAGGGAGGGGCCGCGATGGACTTGGCGGGGCCGAAGATCTGCACGTGGGCAGGGAGCTCAGAAACTTCAGAGTCTTTGCCCCGGCCTGTGGTGGGGTTCATCCGAACCTATCATGTCAAGTAGTTGGTGCATGGACATTGTAAAACCTTGATATATTCACTGGGTTCGTGACGCGTAACACATGGTGAAATACACGTACCAATACAGACGTTTTGACCCCTGACTTCCCTGCCAAGTTTGCAAACGCTACAGTCTCCCTGGCAATTCCTGTAATCTTCCACCCCGCATCAGGTACTGTCACTTGCTACGGGTAGAGATGATCTCTGCAACTCTCCAGAGGCCATTCTGCGAGGGTCATTTTAGAGTTTCGAACAACTTAGCAGTCTTAAAATCATTTACCGTCAAACACAACTCCCCGGAACTTCCGAAAACCTGCCCTCGGAAGTTCCAACGGCGTCATGAATACTTTCGTACAACGGCTGTATTTTAATGGCAGACGAGGGCAGCCGGTCTACTGTCGATCCCTGTTTTATGTAAACCATTTTGTGGCATGCTATTTCGTGCATGAACGTGTTCCGTCTAGTCGGGAAAGCGGGGGTCGCTGGGTGATGACACGAAGTTCGGCTTGTCATTGAAGGGAATCTAGCCTGGTTAATTGCCTTATCTATAACGTACTTTTTTGTGGTGCAAAAGATAACAGCACCTGGAAACGATAAGTCAACCGTGGAATCTGCTTCAATACCGGTCCCAAGTGAAAGTGGTGCGTTACGATTGGAATTATCCTGTTGGTCACGTCTCGCCTTGCGGTGCTGCATTTCCAGCTCCCTGCATCATCCTATTTTCCCACAGCCGCTGTGTACAACCAGTATGCACATGAGGACCGTAGCAGGTTGAGCGTTCAAGTAAACTACTTCTCGATGTTTGCAGTCTCTTCTGCCAGTCCAGTTTCTCTAGAAGACCCACTCAATTGCGGCAGTTTCTCTGCTTTCTCCATTCGCACCATCTCAAAGACACAATTAGGCGACCGGGCTGTAGTCAATCCACTCCGCACAAAACATAGGGTATGCCTTGCAGAGTAGCCAGGATAAGCTGGGACCAGCTGGTTGGGCCGTGTCTAGAGCGAGGACACAACGATGTGCACATCAAGACAACCCTGCCGCCCAGACAGCCTACATAACCATCAATAGAGTTGTTGTCGGGCACGTACGACCATACCCACTGGAGAACTCGGGACCCCGTCCGCTCTCCCATAGATACGCCAGTGAGGGCTGAAGTAGTAGTCGGGTCGGTGACATTCGGCGAATGCCCGATGTTGTACATCGTCTTTTTTGCCTCTGAACCAGTTTACCCGCACATGTTCTGTATTTACTCTTAGTGAGGGTGGGAGGGAAATATTATTGCGGCCTTCTAATCTGGCGTTAAAGAACTGTAACTAGTGATGTAGATGAAGTTCTATATATGTATCATTTTTGTCATTTCTTTTTGGTTTGCAGCTGAGGCGTTTTAATTAAACGTGTTTCTCTTAGGTTCATCCTAGCTTCTGTTCCTTCTATATAGGAAAGGCCTACTGTAGGCGTAGACAGATCGCAAGTTCGCAACATAACCTAATGCAGCACCTGCGTTGCACCAGATGCATCTTAATATGATAGCGACCAGTCCCATCTATTACTAATTAATCATAGATCAGTTCAAGCCGTTAAGATTTGTTTGCATCAATCTTACATCCCAATCCACAACGGTCTACCGTCTCCTAGATGCTGCGCGTGAGTGATGACGCTGCCGGCGACGCGGACAGCTGCCAGTGTCCTTGGCGAGTGTTCCTCGCAGCTTGTTGCCTTCGACGTCAGCAAGGAGGACCCCAAGAAAGATGGCGATTCTCCTACGCTGGCCGCAAATGATCAGAAGCCTCTTCAAAACACCTCGAACAAGATCTCGCTTGGTACTAGATGGAATTGGGAAACACAGAGCTTATCAGTGTGCAAAGTAGTAATGTGCAGACAGGTACCTCAGTGGAGGTGCCTCTTGTGCAAAGAGGCACGTAGCGTGGTCTGTGCATCTTGCACCTTAGCTGCAGTGCAAAGCCCGCTGGGCGTCATGTGCAAGCGAGGCCACCCTTTTGGTTCCTTTTGATTGGCTGGAAGCTCCCAAAAACCTCCAGCGTCCCCACTCTGGCACGGGTTTGTTGCTTGGGCCATGCCGCTTTCCAACCCTTCCTTCCAGCCGAGCAATTTCTCCATTTCACACCTGTCTTTTCACGCCGCTCATCGTGCAATTCGTGAGACCTCTCAATCCAGCGAAAGAGGTGAAGCCGTCTCATACCAAGTCGGCAATAAACCAGCCTGTTGTATCTGCCGCTTCAACAAGCAGCGGCGCCGTATCCAGCATGGCGACACCAAGGCGACGCGCGCTGCAAACGCCCAACGCGACCAGCCCCGGCCCGACGCTTGACTCCATCACCGTCGCCGGCGACGGATCATCGTCCCCAGAGACGCCAACAAGTGACGACCTCCCTGACGCGACAGTGGGCACTCCCAATCGATCTAGACCAGAGGCATCTGCATCTGCATCTGCATCTGCATCTGCATCTGCATCTGCCTCTTCAGCACGCCCAAACCGTACGCCTGGCCCCACTCCTCGCCCGTTCGCCGCCGAGACAAGTAATCGGAAAAACAACAATCGGTCGACTTTGGACTTGCTCTGGGGTAGGAACAACTGGAACCCTCCTCCTTCCATCACTGGCCCGAAGCCCAAGGATCAGCTCGGTGTGAGGGACACGTCTATTCTATGCAGCATATCGAATCTTGCGGTTGAAAACAACGTCGACCTCCCGTCCCTGTATCGTCCCGGCGGCGTCATCTACGACGCAGCCGCGGCACTTCACAATCCAATCCAATGGTCGTCCAAGGTACTGTCCGAAGCCTACAAAAGGCTCAGAGAACAGTACCCGGACACAATTCTCAAGCGCAAGAAGCACCCAAACGTCTCACGCCTGTCGCTTTCCTCGAACCCAGGCCCGCAAGGGACGCCCACCCCCGTCCACCTGACTGCTGAGACCCAGCCGATTGTTCACAGCCAGGCCCCGGTCGAGTCACCAAGAGAACTTATGCCGCAACCCACCGTGCGTCGAGCCCGCAGCCTCGAAGCTGCGTCTTCGCTAGCACGGATGCTAGAGCAGCGCACAGAGAATATAGCTCAAGCAGCACTTCATTTCCATGACCGCGACTTGGCAGGTTTGACGGATCTTCAGAGGCGCTGCCTGGTCCAGTTGGAAGGCAACTTGCCGCTGACAATAGACTCAATGCGCCACCTTGCCAAATGTGTCGAACGGCGCGTCGACCACCCTGATGCGTTTTGCGCGGACTTTTCGTACATGCCCGGAGACGTTGATGGTGCGATTCCCGAGGCTTTGCCTGATGGTTGCGTTGACAGTGGCACCGACGTGCTCCTGTTGCCGATTCACCACAAGGCCGACGACTCGTGGTCTCTTGCTATTTGCAACTCGGAAAGTGGCATTTTGGAATGTTTCTCTCCTAAATCATCGCAAGATCGTCTGCAGTCTTTGCGCGACATTCTTCTTCCTTGGTTGGATGCCTTTTTCCCGCATGCAGACATAGATATGCATGTCCTGGTACGCCGTTTTTCACCCCATTTTTGAAGCCACAAAGCTGACCATAGAAATAGGAGGGAACAAGTTGCGAACACCCCGCCGACAGTGGTGTTTACGTTCTTCTAGCGATTGAGAACTTGATGCGCGACAGTCAGTCTTGGGGACTGTTTGCGCAGCTCGAGGAACCCGCCGAAAGCCTTCGCAAAGTGTTGCATCAGTACCTGTCTGACCTCACGATCGATGCAAGAAAGCCCAAGCATCGGCAAAGCGATGGTCCGCGTCCGACTACCAAGCGCCCTAACTCTCTCGTTGCCCCGGAACAACCGGCTGCCAAGCGACCCTGCCTTGCGCGTCCGATGGATCACCGCACTCGCGTCAGCGCAAGCGCCAGTCCCGCGCGTTCAAGAGAGAGCCTCGAGAGGGTCAAGTTCATGATCAGACAAGCAAAGGTCACTTACCAGGAGCAGTTTCCTTGCTTAGCAGATCTGCAGACCTCCGTCGGAGCGCTCGAGGCCAAGCTTAGCGACTTGGAGCTGGAAGCCTCAAAATGGCAAGCAGCCAGCAACGCCAAAGAGGACATTTTCAAAGAGGCGCAAAGCAAACAGGAATCAGCAGATCATGACCTTCTGGATGCCCAACAAAAACTAGATGAGGTATTGGCAGTTGCAGCAACGTTGGAAAAGACCCCAGGGGCTAGTACTTCAAAGTCAATTGCCAACATCCTCGAGATCACACGCAAAGAAGTTCAGACGTGTCAGGATGACCGGGAACTTGCCAAAACGAGACTCAATGACTTGTCGAACGAAATAATTGAGGCGAAGGAGGCATTCTGGCAAGCCCAGGAGAAGCTTAGCAGCGCTGAACAGGACGTGTTGACCACGAAAGAATCTTTGGACGATGTTGCCCAGGCACTCCAGCTGGGCAAGTATCTAGAAGCGTTTACTGGTTGAGTGCAAGAAGGGACATGCTTTTGAGCTAAAGGGATATAGCCAGCAGGTTGCATTTGTCATCGTTCGGCTGCTTGTGAGGCTGTGATGGAATTATTTCCCCGCGTGGAATTTGTTTTAGATACCCACGATCAGGGCTTGATCTTGTAGATACCCTCTCTTACTATCATAGATCGGCGTCATGCGCAATACTCGATCGACTTTCATGCTCTTAATCAAAATCATGAGACTCATATGCTTAGCGTCGAGGAAGGCCAAATTAAATATGCACGCGCTGCCTTCCATGCACAGAACCATTTGACGAAGTATTGCATGTTTATCAATCGTAATTTACCAAGTGTATCTCCAAGACAAAGCCTCTCCTCGATGAATTTTCTGGGCGTGACGTGCTCATCCATCAACAGGCAATGAGCTTGAGAAACTCGTCGATGGGATGAAGAGAATAGGCCGAGACGTAAATCAGCTTGTTTTGGGAATTAGTCTCAAATTTGGCGTGGATTTTGCGGCTCTCAGATTGCGCCAAATTGACGTGACACTGGCATGGTGAATCCATCATAGATTTTGCCCGGAATGTGGAATTGCATTCCAAGATCACACCAGTCTGTTGGCACGCGACCGTTTCTGAATCAAATATGGCGCAAGCGAACATCTCCGACGATGATATGTTGCTGCGAGCGTTTTACACCGTAGTGAAACAAATAAAGACGAAGCTTGAGAAAGTGAAGGGACAGCTGGAAAAGGACAAGACTGAGACACGGGTTCTGAGAGGCATGATGATTCATACTGTCAAGAAGTTCGCTGCGGATTTCAACGAGCACTATGAAAACGAGTACGACAGCAGAGGTGGACCAGTGGCTTTTGAATATGATGAAGTACGCATGGCTTGAGTATGGTGGTGGAATTCGGGACTGTCTTTCTGAATTGATTGCCTCGAATGTCGCTTCACAGTTGTAGTTTCTCAAATCTCTCCCAAGTCTTATTCCTGGTAGAGGCGCCGAAGGTGAAAGCACAAAATGTCGTCGCGGGCTGAGCTTGTTCCTTTGGTCTCCCATCCTAGGCTTCGGATCTTTCCTTCTTGTAACTCCCTGTAGGGCCTTTCTCAAGACACGTTGCAATCTGAGACTCTCCAGGCAACTGTAACCCCCTTTTAACTGTTTCCTGGGCCCACCAGTTGCTGTATTTCGAGTAACAAGTCTGCACCGCCGCCAAATTCGTACTTTATCACTTCGTCCGGCTTGATGAGGAATTTCTCATTGTAATGAAGAGACCCTTGTATTTCTACATTCTGGCGCATGCCATCTTCGGCATCCATATGTTCTGGTTTCGTGAAGATACATCAGTCCCGCTGAAGTATGAAACCAATGGAAGTTCGACCCCAGCACCCACTACACAATGCTTGGTAAGTTTGTCGTGGACTTCGTCACACACGACCACCAATCTTCCTCATTTCTGACGATGATGTCCTTTACCGCTCCGGGAAGAATTGTAAATTTGATGTACCGAAACCAAAGACTCTGTGCAGAGTTCAACGAGACGCCCGCAACAGGCACGCACGCCACCGGACACTATACAACTTCCTCAAAGTTGACAGCCGAGCCTCACGCGCCGAGATCTTGTAGGCGACCTGGAGCTTTTATGAGGAGCTGGCCCCCAGCATGCAGCCGTGCTGACAAGTATCGAGAATGCCCAAGAGGGTAGGTCTGTCATCGTCTGGTCGTTGTGGAGGTGACTTGGGTTCGCAGCTTCGCAAGAAGAAGATGGCAGGGGACTAAGGCGACAAGGGACGATGGGAATTTGCGAGGAGCATGCGACGGAGTTGTCAACGGTGTGATCCAGAATGATTCTCGAGGAATTATTGACATGGTGCAACGCTAATTTACATGCCTATAGAGAGCGTGGAAGAATGGTTCCAATATCATCGTATCAAGAGCACTCTAGAAATTCGGGACTGCGACGCGTGCCACCTACGTATCCACATAAGTCATAACCCCATTCCACTTCTGTTTGGCCGCGTGATACCCCCTCCGGCACCTGTCTGTCTCCTGTTCCATCTCCAGCGGTATCACGGGACTCTCGACCGCTGCCTGCTGAGCTGCCTCCTCCGCCTCGCGCAGCTCCCCACGAGCTCGGCTCCGGGCAATCCCCCAGTCTATCGACGGGCTGACCTCGTGCTTGTGTGGGGCCCGTCAGCAATGGAGGTCCCATAAGATATCGTTCCGCTGTACTGGTTGACGCGGCTAATGTCATTGGCCTGGTCTACGGTGAGGTCGATGGTGGCGGCTGTTGTCAACAGGGTCGAGAGAGCTCATGGAAAAGAAGAGATTTAGCCCAGGGAGTCGGCCTAAACTCGGCTTCGGGAGGATGGTGACTAGTCATTTCCGCCCCATCTTGCTTCCCCTCATACAGTCGCAGCATTTCTACTTAGCGTCGGCGATGTGTGCAAGCATATTGAGCCACGTGTGCATGATGCGATCAAGGCCGGGGTGGTGCATGTGGTAGAGTTACGGGACAATAGGCGGTCGATGTGGGCTTCGGGTTACGACGACAGAAGGCGTGGGACGAAGCAATCATCTACGGGTACTGACCGTATGTCGCGACGCTCCAGACGATAACGCCCTTAGTTCGGTTGTAGTAGCGAGTATCTCGAGCGAGAGCGGGTGTATTCGGTCACAAGGACGCTGCAGTGAAGCGAAGTCGTGCGAGACAACGAGAAGCTGGGCGATGAGCAATGACAACAACGATAAACAACATCAAGAAGAACTTTGCGGAAAGACATGGAAAAGCCCCGGTCCATGGGTCATCCATTCCGTCTCTTTTCAAGCCGCACCTTCATCAACCTACGACATATCGAATCAAGTCGGCTGGCATACGCGTAATATGGCCGCGTGATAGGTCCGGCACGTTCTAGCAGCCATCAAGACCTCTTGCCTTTAATCCAGAGGAAACTCTCCACGGACGCAGCAGCAGCACGTATCCGAAAATCCGATCACCAAGAGAGTCCAAATTTGACATCGTTTAAAGGGCGCAGTTGTCTGCTAGGTCACCCAGGTCGCGAGGCAACCGGGGCGCGCCGCATTGGACATAAATCGCGAGGCGGAGCTAGCGGCAACTGTGAGAGGCCGGCGGGCTTGCCGGTGACCCCGAGCTTACGCGCCCCCGGCGCACCTTCGGAAAACCTCACCGAAAAGCTCGCGGCGCACATTGTTGAGAGACGGACACAGGTCTTGCGACCAAGGGTGGTGAGTCTTGGAATGGCATGATTGTACCAACTTCTTGTTTTATGAATGGCCCCTGATCTCGTATGAAAGACCCCCTGTACCTGCACACTACCCTGTCGCGCTACACTACTCGGGCGAAAGCGGCTCGGGTCGATCCTTGAAGATCCAGGGACTAGCCACATTAGAATAACTCCACACCGATGCGAGCTTTTTCTTTTTTCGACTAGCTGCATCAAGCGCTGCGCGCTGAGATGGTTCAAGGACGACTCTTTTGGCAGAAAATTCAATAATGCAAAGGCAGCAAGAGGGCCGGCAGTAGATGAAAACAGAGCTTGCCTCTTTATCATTTAAACAACGCGCGTGATTTGCGATGATCAATTTCAGGGCGATTGCATTCATCGCATCCACTACTAGATAATCGCAGTTTGATACACAACTTCTCAGACCCATTTTAAGTCCTGCAGACGTCGCTTCCACCATTAAGCATTCCTCTCACCCCCATCGTCAGACTCTCAGTGGCCCCATTGCCACGCTGACTAGTTGCGCAACGTTGTCATTGCAAGACCAATCATGCAGACGCTGGAGAAACTAGGGGAGCTGAACCAAGGCCTGAAGGATTTAGTTCAACATCGCCAAGTGACAATAGAACCTTGCATGTTTTCTTGAAATACGGAATGCTTTGTGGAGCCCTTAGTGCTTACATGCCCTTCAACAGCCTGTTGCTCATTGGAATTATGTTACCTTTAGCCGGTGGTCATTCAGTCGGCGAGCAAGGGCACGGCACTTTGGGAAGGATTCCTTATGCATGGGAGCTGGGTGAAGCGGCTTGGAATAAATCCTTCCTCTGTATAGCTGCAGAAAAACATTCAGACAGACCAAATCGTACCTGCCTATTAGTCAGCTCTATGTTTCTTTCGTTATAAAGGCACGCCGATTCCGCTACATCCAGTGGCTTTCTTCTGGTCACTTATAACCACACTCTTCAATCGTTTTCATATCCTGTACCTTCAGCAACCACCAAATCTCCAGAATGCTCATCACCAACATTCTCGCTACTGTTACTACAGCCTGCGCTGTCTTTGCCCCTACTGCTGTGGCTTATGATATGCGGGTCAAGAAGTACGGCAAGACTGACTGCTCTTCTCCTGGCGGCGGCAACTTGGATTGGAGCAGAGGCGAATGCCACGGTCTTTATAGCACCGATTGGGGCATGAAGGTCATTGATTACAGCACTAACTGCAAGAGTAAGAATGAAACTACCTTGGCAGCGTATGACCAGTCAAAACTAACGTTGATAACAGTGAGGGGTTATTCGGACGGAAACTGCAGGAGCAAAGTGGTCACGGCCTTCAGCACCAGACAGTGCCACACTCTCAAGGGGGTCTGGTCTGTCCGTGTTGAATGCCAGTAACATATATTGTTTACCTTCCGTGGAATGCAAAACGCCGCACTTTGATGTCTACCTCTCCTCCTGGGGCCGAAGGACAGCAACTCTGATTTCATGTTTTACGGTGGTCGTTGGCGAGACGAGATAGCCGGTCAGCCTCTAAAGCAGAATGACCAGATAGAAGGACACAGACACACAGTATAATCGTTTTCTATACTCAGATGTGTGCCACAGTGAAGGATTTGTATGTTACCCGAAACAATGCTACTATTTCTATGTGTTTGAAGATATTGCACCTAGCAGGGTCTATAGCCGTCTGAGATTTAAACTGTAGACGTATATACCGCGACATTAGGCATAATTAGAGTTATTAGTTTTCTTATATAGAGGATAGTAAATACCTATACACGTTACACCTAAGGGTGATCTATTAAGACGCATATATAAATAAGCTTTAGCTAAAATATATAAGCGTATTATATAAGTTGAAATTTGCTGCTACTAGTTTGCCTTTAGAAATAACTGTTATAAAACGCTTTTAACCACTTTACATAAACTGATTAATAGTGAGCCTTTTATTAAGGAAGCTAATAAAGTTATAGTTAGCGCTAAAGGTATATATATTATATTTAATAACGCTTAGAAAATCTATTTGAAGCGTTTTACTGCTGCTTAATATCTATTTTAAATAAGATATAGAAAATTTATTCACTTTATATCTTTATTAAAAACTAGATTATAAGCTTTCAACGTCCTAAAGTAGTAAATAGAAGAGGTAAAAATAAAACTTAAATAAACCTTAAAGTTTAATTCTTAAAACTATATAATAACTAATATAATAACTTACTCTTATAATATTAGACTTTAATTATTAAAGCTATAAGTTTAAAACTTTAATGATATTATATTTTAACTATTGAAAGCAGATTCTAGATTATAATTATGAAGTATAGCAGGTAATTAGATAATAAATTCCTCATAATAGATCTTATATTTAAGCTAATTAACTATATATAGAAGGATATTAATCTAATGCGATAGATATCAGGCACTCTAAACTTCTTCTAAACACTTAAAAAGTTAAAACTGCAGCTGTTAAGAGATGATTTGCTCACTAGACCCTATCTTAATGTTACGAGCGGGTCAGGACAACCAACTGTGGCACAAAGCAAAAGCTTCGCTAATGACAAATCCGTTGTCATTGTCCCCTGTTCTGCACTATTTGGTTACGAGCCTACAGTGACCAACTGCAGCGGTCGTAACACTTAACTACCCCTATAGAAGCTTTAATTGCTACTAAAGCTAACATTATCTCAACTAAAGAGCTTAGAAATAGTTCCAGTTATGTTCATAATGTGATGCACGCAACTTAATGCTATTAGGTGTTAGTTATAATCGCGTTAAGGATAAACAAGAGGTCTTACGGTTTATCTTAATAAACGAATTTAGTAATGATAAGTTCATAATAGCCAGTGGAATAAAGAAAGAGCGGAGTAAGCTCCAGCAGATATCATTTAAAGTTGATTGCAAAGCGTAAGAAATTGTTCACTTTACTAAAGCAAGACACCTAGAAGGAGATATATCCTAGAGGAATAAACTCCACAGCAGACCGGTCAAAGAATTATTGGTTAGTAATTATGATATTGCAGATGTGAATGCCTTCTTTTAGATTATCGAACAACATAACGGAGTATAAATTGCTTGACTTTTAGGCATACAATGCTGTATACGTGTGATGGGTATGTTATGTGAGCTGTTCCGCTGTGCCCAAGATGACCCGTCTGGTACGAACGCGTCGTTCAGACACAGAAGTGTGACATGCCTTTTAAGCGTCAACAGAGTAACCTTCTCTAAGGAAGAGGTGAAAAACATAGATAGAGAACATTCCTTCGACCCATCCCGTTGTGGATTTCCATCGTCACGCTTTGTTGTTCTGCGCGTAGCCCTGACAGCCGTGACGTTGGTCCTGTCTTCCATCGAGAATTGAATCGGTACATTGAAGGTAGGGAAGCGGGAATGCTTACTTTCATCGATCAGGTCATGAAGGCCCAGTGCTTGTGACTTGTATTGCCTGCATTGCAGTACAGTTATCCTGGGTTCTTCTAAAGTTTTCCAAGCCTTCTCAACAGCCAGTCGCTATGAAGATATATGGAGGGGTTTGAAAATCAAAGGCAATATGTATTGAGTCCGTAGAGATGGATTCCCGTACAATGCGATTCGCATGATGACAAATCACTCTGCATATGCACTAGTTAACAGCGACGCAGCCTGCATGAAAACCACAAACTACGCACTGATATGATGAGGCCATCACATAGGTTTTTGGCACGCTTGGATTGATGGTCCTAGATATTCCTGAACTTCCAACTTGAGAGGGCTCTTTCAAACAAACGGGGAATTAACCTCAACCTCAAAGTCGCCATGCTTAGCGTCATGAGGGCTCGGCGGAAGGCGGGAACGTTTGCACGTCAACTTGAACGCAGCGCCTTCGTTTCAGAGGGGCGTCGAATGCCTCCGATAAGTGTTTTCTGCGTGTATCATGTTGCAGTCTCTGCTGAATCCTTATTTGCCCCGGAAGCTGGCATTGATACAAACCATTACCCACATGCTGCATGGGGAACATAGCGGTCTCTGCCGGCGGGATCTTATGGTGCTTGCCATCGCATCCATTTCTCATGAAATTTTGACTGTCGGGCTATCAGTCAGGTGCCGTTTTGGTCGACCTCGAGACGTAATATTCACAAACAGATTGCTGGACCCCTCTCCACTACATCCAACCTGCAGTACGGACCACCATGCGCACTAAATAGCAAACGATGCTGTTACTGCAGCAATAAGAGAATTGAAGGCTGAAGCCAGCTTCTGGGCAAAGCCTCCACCTAATTGAGCATCAACGGAAGACAGCTTCCTGCTGGGATGATTTTTGACTTGCGAAGGATTGTTCACCGATGTCTTGCAGACGCTTCATCAAGGAAATATGCGTCAGAATGTAGATATTAACTTTAGGCATCGTCAGTAAGCTCGATAGCGGTAACAGTTTCACTAGCTCTGCATCTGGTATATATGTTGAACGAGCGTGGTGCGATCTACTCACAGCTGGACCTGGACCGAGCAGTCGAATTGTTGGTTGGTGGTCAAGTGGGGTCCATAGGAAGTGGTCTGATGGTCGCTGCGGCAGGTTTCGAAGAAGGACCCAGCGCTCTTGCGGGCACGTCAATGAAGTTCCAGTCGTCGATTGGGGTTGGACGGTGCGACCCTCCCCGAATGCAGGGGTCTCATCGCCTCTATCAAAAGTCAAAATTTCCGATGTGATGATTCCGTAATCCTTCGCCTAGAATCCGCAGCAGAGACTAATCCGTATTTTCGGCGGCTGCGATCCATGGCGCTTGCCCGTGCACATGGTTCCGGCGTTATTCCGACTACACTCCGGCGAGTGTCACTGCGCTACGAAGAAGAACTTTTGCCCAGAAGGAATAGGCTCGACAATCAGACCCTGACTATGCTGATTACGACTTTCCTTCTCTTTTCTAAGTACTTGTAAGATTCTTTCCACGCTCCTTTCTCGTCGGCTGAGGTGCCGTTCCTCACGGGGATCGGCACGGGGATCGGCACGGGGATCGGCACCGGTACTTCCTGCCTACTGCCTTCACTCCCATTGTCAGGCAAACGCAGCTGCCTCTTAATCTCTAGAATTCGACCTGGAGACGGAAACAATGAGCACCCAATAACAGCCGCCTTGCACTGGAAGCATCCACCCAGAGCACCAATTTGCCTTTCTTTTCCACCTTGAGTCTGCCATCCTCATCCATATACTTCTTCGCTCACATCAATCCCATCCAGCTTCACGTCCATTTGTTACACAGAACCCGCCATCGCTTGTCCCGCCCATTGCAGCATAACTCGCAGCCGTTATTCATTTCTACCTTCCCGCCCTAAGCCTGCCTTCTACTTTGCTCCGCACCTTTACGTTCCTCCCAACGTTTCATTCTATCGTGATCGGCAATCATGTGCGCAGACAATATTTTCGTTGTGGCTGCATATGAGAAGCCGACAATCGTAATATCCATCCACGGCGCGCCCGAGGAAGTCACCCACAGCGCTATGGCGTTGGCGACCGCATACAACATTCCAACAACGTGGCCAGCACTCAGCCCGCTCGGAGACGATGCCCACCTCAACAACCTCACCAAATTGGTTCAGACCTTTCCACCTGAGTAGGCCTCTATCACCTAGGTCCGCAAGTGGACTAATGCTTGTCTCGACTTGCGCAAACGCGTCACAAGCTCTTCAGTCTCGTGGATAGGACACGACCTACCTTCCATGACGTTCAAACAGATGTCCGAGTACCTCGTCAAATGTGGACTAGGCCTTGCAAAGCCCACGACGTTGCCCGCAACATTTTCTTTGCCCGAGAAGTGGGTGTTGTTCTTGAATTCCCTGACTGGGCTTTTGCTAACCGTTCATGAAGGTGAGAAAACAATGGCTTCGGCAGATTACGTCAACTATTCCCGAAGAAGACTACAGTAGCCGCTTGCTGGATTATGTGTACCGGAATCTACTGTTCTTGATGGCATTGTTTCTGGTCTATGTCTTTGTCATCTGTTTCATCTGAGAATACCAATTCACAGGAATGCTCTTCGTCGCATTGTTGGCATTCTTTTTCTCGGGCATTTGGCTCCGCCAATAATGGGACTATCCAGTAATTTGGATCAGGCGTCCATGTAGGTTGACAATTTCGACATAAGCGGCCCCGTCGGTCCGACTTTTGAGGTCTCCCGCAGGCGAGTTGGTGTGGTATTGGGTGCAGCTCGTCGTGCCAAGGAACAAACTGTGCGAGGAAAACCACTGGCTGCATGAGGCCAGGTTGTGGGAATGTTGGCTGCTAGGGTTTGCCAGATTTTGCTGTTGCGTATTACGATGTCATCGGTCCTTTGCCTGTTCGCATTCAGAGACCACAGAACGATGCATCCCAAGTGTAACTCCTCAATGGCCGACCTGGAGATACAGCGATTTCTTGTCGGGGC